AGAGCGGGGAATCAAACCCGGTTCTCCCAGATTAGAGTCCGCGCACTTAGCCACCACACCAAACTGGCTCTTTCCCCGGCTTGCTGTTGGTGGATGGGTGATGACGGTACTCCACATGTGTGTGCCTCATCGCACTGCCACTTGGGAACGGAAGGGTGGCTTGGAAGACGCAGGAGGCGTCGATACGGCAACAGCTGGGCTTGAACCTCTCACCCATCTCACCTTTATTCTGTCTGGTCAGGAAATGGGCCTGGTGGGCAGGACTGAAATCCCCTTTCCCCAGTCCTGTGGCAGTCCTGATCTAAATCAGGCCCTTGTGAACCTGGAAACGGAGATCCCAGCAGGGGACTCGCAGCTGACCCCAGACAAAAAGTCCTCGAGACAAACTGAGGAGAATGTGTAGAAATTGTAACATACACGCGGTGGGTGAAAAGTGTTGTCAATTCACAGCTGACTTAAGGTGACCCTACAGGGTTTTCAAGGCTGGAGATGGACAGGGGGGGTTGCCTTTGCTTGCCTCTGCACGGAAACCCTGGACTTCTTTGGTGACCTCCCATCCAAGGGGTCATTTCGTAGAAAAAGAGGTGCAGGAGCTCATTAGCATAGCTTATTTGCATATGCCACGCCCCCTGACATCACCGGAAGTGTGTCAGAAGGCACGACTGGACTGTTTTGGATTGCTAGCTATTGTGGGGGGGGGGACGTGCAGATCTCTCTTCACAGAGGAGGGGAAAGCTTGTACCTGAATAAAACTTGGTCTTAAAGGTGCCACTGGACTGTTTTGGGCCGGGGGGGTGGGGAGGGTGTTCTGCAATTTACCTGGCTGCTTCTTGCTCTGACTGAGGGCTGCTGGGAGCAGGGGGCGGGGCTTGTTGCATGTGCCCGCCCCCTGGGCTCTTTACTGCCGGAGCTCCGCTCCTGTGCGCTCCTGCAGGAAATGACCCCTGCCAAGTGCTAACCAGGGCCAACCCTGCTTAGCTTCCAAGATCTGACAAGATCGGGCTAGCCTTGGCGATCCAGGCCAGGGCGACATATATTTAGGCCCTTTAAGGAAACCTGCGTTCTGACCCTCAACCTAGTAGCACAGTATTGGCCTCACCGGAAGTTCTTGACGTGATCTTCTACATTGACCAGGTTCACGGCGTTTGACAGGGCCATGCTGTAGGTGCCAGCCTGCACTGAGGAACCCCAGTTTGCATCTGTTGGGGAGGAGACAGGAGAAAAAATTAGGAATGGTTCGGTCCACATCACCTGCCTTCTTTCCAGAGGGAGAATCGCAACATTTCTCAGTGAATCTAGGAAGACAGCCAGTTGAAGGACCAGCTTTGGTAGAATCGATGAGTTGGAAAGGGCCTTAGGCCGTCTCATCCCACCCCCTGCTCAAGGCAGGAAATCCAATGCCACGTCCTTGAGCAATGGCTGTTCAGCTTCCACTTGAAGACCTCCAGAAAGGAAAAGCCACAGGAAGGCTCCTTGCATTGGGGGAAAGCACTCTGCAAAATTCAGCCCTATCTGTTGCATCTCTGTGAATTACTACTCTAGCCATGTCAGTCAGGAGGCACTTCCAGAGCAGTGACTCATACAGAGATGCAACAGATGGTTGCAAAGCCCACAGTCGGTGCTTTTGAGGGCAAGAAATCATGCTCACTAAAAAGAAACTCAGGAGGGGAGGTATAAGAGTGAAACAGGCCTTCAGATTTAATTCACATGGAGTGGAGGAGAAGGAGGAGGAGATTGGATTTATACCCTGCCCTTCACTCGGAGTCTCAGAGCGGTTTACAAACTCCTTTCCCTTCCCCTCCCCACAACAGACACCCTGTGAGGTGGGTGGGGCTGAGAGAGCTCTTTCAAGAACTACCCTTTCAAGGACAGCTCTTGTCAGAACTATGGCTTGACCAAGTACCAAGATCATCCAGCAGCTGCAAGTGGAGGAGTGGGGAATCAAACCCGGTTCTCCCAGATTAGAGTCCGCGCACTTAACCACTACACCAAACTGGCAGCTGTCAGAAGTCTAGCAATCACTGGCATATTTGTTGGCCTCCTCCTTCTAAGAGGATTTGTGAGCCCGGAGTGGATGTTGGCCTAGGACAACAACAGACTAGTTTCAGATAGCAGGCTGTACCACCAGCAGTGGTACAATCCAGGAGGGACCTTGCCCTGTCCTTTCGCTGAATCTGCAGATAAGCCCTGAGCGGAACACTCTGAAGTTCAAATCTAGGACTTCTAGCTCATGCCCTCAACTGAGCTGAGCTTCTGGATCAGAGGGGGTGATCCAGGACTCTTTTTGTAGAAAAAGCCCAGCAGGAACTCATTAGCATAATAGGCCACACCCAACAGCAGGAACTCATTAGCATATTGGGCCACACCCCTGACAGCACAGCTCATTAGCACATTAGGCCGCACCCCCATGTTACCAGAAGTGTGGTCATCCAGCCACACCCACCTTTTGCTTCTTATTCTGTTTACCTTGTTTGTGGTCCAAACCCAGGGCCTTTTTTTGTCGCAGGGACTCCTTTGCATGTTAGGCCACACACCCCTAATGTAGCCAATCCAAATGAGTTTCTGCTGTTGGGTGTGGCCTGTTATGCTAATGAGTTCCTGCTGGGTGTGGCCAACTTGGGAGCCAGCCAGAACTCCGTTCCTGTGCGTTCCTGCCCAAAAATAGCCCTGGGTGGTCCTAAGCCGGCTTAACTCCCACACTCCCACCCCTTGCCTCAGCTCACCATCAGCGGCACCCCTCGTTCGACAGACTGAAGAAGCCCAAGGTCCCTCACCTGGTTTCTTGTAGGTGACGTACGCCAAGCTCACGACGATGACCCCGACCACGATGAGGGCTGCCCACAGCAGGAACATGATGACCACAGAGATGATGGACCCGAAGAGGGCGGTCCATTTGCTGAAGTAGCGGAAGGAAGGTCTCCAGCCTAGGAGGGGCCAAGGGAGCGTCAGCTGGGGTGGCCGTCCACAAGCCAGGAATCATAAAGCCCTGATTTATCGTTCATGTCATCACTGACCCACAACAGTCACTCATTCACCTCACGCAGCAAGCTCACTGACTGAGACTGTCAGGGCCGGCCCCAGCATATTTTGCACCCTAGGCGAGGATCCCTTCTAGTGCCCCCCGTGCGCCCCCCGGTCAGAGCCAGCGGGGGGCGCTTTTGGCAGGGGGGTGGGTGCAGTTTGGTGCCCCTAATGGTTGGGGCGCTCTAGGCGAACGCCTAGTTCGCCTAGTGAGCGAGCCGGCCCTGGAGACTGTAGCCCCCCCCCCCTTGGGGTCCTGCGGTGGAGAACCGGCCCAACTCAGATCACCTTCTGACTCTCCAAAGAGCACAGGCCACAAGCTCTTTCGGATTGGTCACTCGCCCGGCATCGTTCACTGGCTCCTCCAATCCGAACACAACGTGAAAGCAGATGTGCTCACTCCACCCCACCCCACCCCCGCCTCTCTCGCACACCATCTATCCCGCCTGCCTCACCTGGAGAGTTCGTAATGGTGGCATGGAAGCAGCTGAAGTTGATGAGGGCATACGAGCAGAGGAAGAAGTTGGAGATGATGGGGGCGATGGTGTTGAGCTCAGCTGCCGGGGCAAAGGAGAGAAAAATCACCCTGGTGGGGCGGATGGCGCTGAGGGAAGGTTCTTGCGTGGGCACTGCTGAAGTGGCTAGTCCTCACCCATGCCAATCCATGATTGTCAATTGTAACTTATTAAGAGAAGGACTTCCAAGTTAATCATTTTGGTACCTTAGTCTGATGTGGGCTGTTCTGCAGATACCCTTCGTCCACACAACTCAAAAGCACCTTATGGAATGGCTGAGCATTGTTGGGTGCACCTTAAAGCTATGGAAGACCCCTCTAAGGCACCTCCTGAGACAGTGAAGGCTCAGACCATGAAGAAGAAAAGAGGTTGGATTTATACCCCGCCCTTCACTCGGAGTCTCAGAGTGGCTTACAAACTCCTTTCCCTTCCCCTCCCCACAACAGACAACCTGTGAGGTGGGTGGGGCTGAGAGAGCTCTGACAGAAACTGCTCTTTTTCAAAAACACCTCTGACAGAACTATGGCTTGCCCAAGTTCATCCAGCAGCTGCAAGTGGAGGAGTGGGGAATCACACCCGGTTCTCCCAGATCAGAGTCCGCGCACTTAACCACGACACCAAACTGGCTCTCCAGGGCTTTTTTTGTAGAAAAAGCCCAGCAGGAACTCATTAGCATAATAGGCCACACCTAACAGCAGAAACTCATTAGCATATTAGGCCATGCCCCTGACTGCACAGCTCATTAGCCTATTAGGCTGCACCCCCATGTTACCAGAAGTGTGGTTATCCAGCCACACCCACCTTTTGCTTCTTATTCTGTTTACCTTGTTTGTTGTCAAAACCCAGGGCTTTTTTTGTAGCAGGGACTCCTTTGCATGTTAGGCCACACACCCCTAATGTAGCCAATCCTAATGAGTTTCTGGTCCTGGGTGTGGCCTATTATGCTAATGAGTTCCTGCTGGGCGTGGCCAACGCGGGAGCCAGCCGGGACTCCGTTCCTGTGCGTTCCTGCCCCAAAATAGCCCTGGGTCTCACCAAAGGGCTTCAAAGAATAAAACCAGCATTCTGCCTTGGCCCGGAGACCAAAGAATAGCCCCTGCAGGTGTTTGAGAACAAGTGTCAAATTTCAGGCTGGCTGACGCTTCTCAAAAGACGGGCAACGATATTTTGCTCCCAGGCCTTTGGCAAAGGCAGCCCCATCTGCAGCGTGAAGCCACAGCCTAATGTGGAGGTCAGCTGACTTTCCATTGAGGTTTTGCGCCGTCGTGGGTCACAGGATGGATCAGGAGGAGGCCTCACTTACCAATGAGGACGAAGGCGATAGCCAGGAGGTAGGTCAAGCCGTAGGCCCTGAGAGGCTCCTTGTTCTTCCCATATCCCTTGGAGAAGAAGCCAATGAAGGGGTAGAGGTTGTCCTGGCAGAGGCACTGTAGGGAAGAGTGGCAGAAGGTGTGAGCGAGGGACCCTGGGAGATGAGAGAAAGGGGGCCTGGGTGGGGGGAGAGTCAGGCCCTACCCACAGAGCCATTTCCAAATGTCCTCGTGGACAGAAGTGGTTGCAGGCTTCCGTGAGTGCTCAGCTGTGTCACAGGAGCTGGTCCCGTTTTGGATGACATGATCTTCCCCATTGAAGGTTGCCGACCTCCAGATGGGAGGCTGGTAGGGTTGCCAAGTCTATCTTTGCCGGGAGCGGGGGGGCTCCCGACCAGCGTCTTGTGTGCGCGTGCATGCGCTTTGCGTGCGCGCACCATGCGCACATCACCCGGAAGTGATGGGAGGCCGCCAGGCACGCTGAGGGCGGGGCCATGGCCATACAAGGGAAACCCATAGAGTTTTCCCTTGTATGGCCGTAGCCCCGCCCCCGGCGTGCCCGCGTAACTTCCGGGTGACGCACACGTCGGGGTGGAGTTCCCCCCGGGGCCCAATCCGGCGGCGCCGGGGACTTGGGATCCCTAGAGGGGGGGGACTTGGGATCCCTAGAGGCTGAAGATACTCGGGAATTACAACTGGCCTTCAGATTACAGAGATCAGTTCTCTTGGAGGAAATGGCTGCTTTGAAGGGCGGACTCCTGGATAGTCATTACAGGAATTTCCCAACCCAGAGCTGCCAGTCCTCTCCCCACCCCTTGCAAAGGCTGGCTGGCTCTGCATTCCACCCACCCCCCTCCCCTCCTTAGACATGAGATCAGTATGGAAACAGGGCAGGGTTTTCCTCACTGGAATATTTCCATTCCCAAACATCCTGCCCAGAGACACCTGCCATGTCTATAGGAGGTGACACCACCCTTATTTTGGAAAAACTCCTCCTGACGATCGATAGACTCGCCCAAAATATCCAGCTATAGCTCTGTTTTACGTGACTGAATGGCAGTGTTGCAGTATATTTGAATTATTAGACCATATTTACTAGACGGCATTACAATTTCCATCTTGTTAAAAAAGAAATCACTTGCTTTACACAAAAGGAATGAGTACCTTATGATAACTAGTGAATAGACCCACAGGTCTACATCCTTCCAATCCATTCTGGGGAAGAACCAGTTTGGTGTCGTGGTTAAGTGTGCGGACTCTAATCTGGGAGAACCGGGTTTGATTCCCCACTCTTCCACTTGCACCTGGCTGGATGACCTTGGGCAAGCCATAGTTCTGACAAGAGCTGTCCTTGAAAAAGAGCCATTTCTGTCAGAGCTCTCTCAGCCCCACCTACCTCACAGGGTGTCTGTTGTGGGGAGGGGAAGGGAAAGGAGTTTGTAAGCCACTCTGAGACTCCTTTGGGTAGTGAAGGGCGGGGTATAAATCCAATCTCTTCTTCTCTCAAGAGCAGTTCCTGTCAAGAGCTCTCTCAGCCCCACCTACCACACAGGGTGTCTGTTGTGGGGAGGGGAAGGGAAAGGAGTTTGTAAGCCGCTTTGAGACTCCTCTGGGTAGTGAAGGGCGAGGTATAAATCCAATCTCCTCCTCCAGTAGCAAAATGATAGTTTTGAAGGGGCAAAGATGTGTCCTATTACAACCTTTCCCCCCTTAAAAAGATCAAGAACGCCACGGAAAACTCAGTTTCAGCGATCAAAAGCAAGCAGGAGTTGGATCCCCCTGTTTGCTTGCCTCTGATCCAAAGAGAGGATATCATTTATATCACTTTGCCAGATCCATGACTGCCACTGTGTCTGTTTTGTGTCACTGTGTCACGGTCATGTTCTGTTGGTGGTGGTGGTTTTTTTTTTAAAGAAAGTCTGGAAAAATACTCGCAGAACCACACGTAACGTGGAGCTCTGCCCTGAGAACTAGTCTTGAACCAGCAAGGGACAGAGGTCCTCATTGACATGTACATCACATGCTGAGAGTGTCGGGTGTTCTCCCAAACCTTCTGAGCACGCAACAAAGATGGCTATTTCACAACTGGTAACTTTGCATGGTATGCTGGTCATCTTCATCACCCTGCTATGCGGTCAGGATTATTTGTCCACTATTCCGCATTCCCAGATTTCTGACAAGATAGGAAGGTGTGATAAAGATTCTCCTCCTTTCTCGGCAGAGAACCAGTTTATCATGTGATTTAGAGTGAGAGGCCTGTGGTGGTTATCTAGCTATCCATCTATTATGTTTTAATCCATTTCCGCCCTAACTGCTAGAGCAACCTACGTAGCTCTCTTCTCCTTCTTTAGGCTGCAAGAAAGTGAGTGGCCCAAGGTCACCCGACAGGCTTTAAACCTGGGTAGGTATTTAAACCTGGGCTGTCCCATCTACCAGTTCAACACCCTAACCTACTACACCACACTGATAACTGCTACCATTATTAGTTAAAGAAGAGGAAGAAGAGTAGGTTTTTATACCCCACTTTCCTCTACCTGAAGGAGTCTCAAAGTGGCTCACTATCGCCTTCCCTTCCTCTCCTCACAATAGGCACCTTGTGAGGTAGGTGGGGCTGAGAGTTTGTAGGGAACCGTGACTGGCCCAAGGTCACCCAGTAGGATTCATGTGTAGGAGTGGGGAATCAAACCCATTTCTCCAGATTAGACCCCGCTGCTCTTAACCACTATATCACGCTGCCTCTTTGTGCAGTGCTAAAAGTATGCTTGTAGACATTTTCTTTTTAATAAATACTTTATTGCTTGGGATGCTGGTAGCTGTTCCCTGTACCACAGCTATTTATATTAATGCTCTGGGCTGGGGTACAACAGGAGTTAAAGAGGTAACATTAGATGGGATTGAAGAGGAAATTAATTAGTTAATTATATGAATTCGTTCATTGTATTAATTCATTCATTATATTCATTTCTTTCCTTCGTACCCCGTCTTTCTTCCCAGTGGGCACCCAAAGCAATTTATTCTTCCATTGAACAACTCAGTTGCCTAGACACTAGGGGGAGCTACATTGCTCTAAGGGTGTATTGCTCTACATTGCTCTAAGGGTGCTCTTCTTGAATGGGATGCCTCTCTTTGTCCTCACCTGGGAGCTTTGATCCCTCTTCTCTCTCTCTCTCTCTGGCTCTTGCTCCCCCCCCCCTTCTGCATATGGCTCTTCATGGAGTCATACATCTCTGCAACTCTCCTGTAGATACAATGTCCTCATACTCCCATAGACATGATGCCAGACCAGCTGGCCATTTGTGATAGGAAAAGTACTGCTTAGATTAGGTTTCTCTCTCTCCTTTTGACTGCAACCTGAATCTACTTTTACTTTTTGCAATATACTTCTTGAGAGATTTATTTACAGCACTCAATAGTCACACTTCTATGACTGGGCAAATTCTGCTATATTAACCAAGTATCCCAAAACTTATATAGTTCTCCTCTCCTCTATTTTATCCTCACAACTACCCTGTGAGATAGTTCAGCTCAGAGTGTCTGACTGGACGAAGGACCCCCCCCCCCAGCAAGCTCTCGTGGCAAAGTGGGGATTCGGACCTGGTTCTCCCAGATCTTAGTCTGACTCTATAACCACTACACCACGCTGGCTATCAGACACTGGGTGCGTTCAGACGCAGCGTTTATAATGGGATCTGTGACGGTTCCAACCGGTGTACTTACCAGCGTTCACACGGGAAACAGCTGTCTTCCCTCTCTATCCGTTGTAAAGAGCTTTAAACCGTTGCACTCTGCCACTAGGTCCGAAGTGGTGGTAAACTGAGTGCAACGGTTGAAAACGGTGCACCCCGGCGTCTGATCGCTCTCCACCGTTCCAGAGACACTTCCGTCGGAAGCCTCAGGCTTCTGGCTATCCCCCACCATTTTTTTTTAACTTAGCGATATGCGCTCAGGCGAAGCTTCGCCCTGAGCGTTTGGTTAAAAAAAAAAAAGCGCCTTACTTTAACTTCCCGGAGGAGTCCGGGACTACAGGGAGGCCAGGTTGGGCTTTAAACCTTAAAGGTAAGTGCTTACCTTTAAAGTTTAAATGTAATGGGGGGGTTGAGCATGCGCAAAAATCGCCATTCTCTGAAAGGCTGCCTATGCGCATGCTCAAACTGTCCTTTTTTTAAAAAAAGCAAACACCGACGCCCGCAGCGTGTGAGCGGGCGTCCACCGGAGCCATCCGCAAAATGGAGGGTAACTGTGATCGCGTTTCTGCCGGCATAAACGGCACCGGTTCCAACCGGTGCAGTTTATGCCAGCAGAAACGCCCCGTCTGAACGCACCCACTGGGTTAGCACTGGTCGTTTTGCTACAGGAATTACATGAGCCTTCAAGGGCTGGACTGCACAAGCATAAGATGAAAACTGGAGAATTTGTTCCTGCACCACTAAGGGCCTCAAGACCCTTGTTCCAACCTTGTCAGAGTAGCATCCATATCTCTGTCCCTCACATCCTCTTCTGAACTAACCTGGAAGACCTTGGGAGCAGAGACAAAGCACGCCAAAGCAGAGGACAGGGTGGCAGCAAAAATCCCGGCCGTGATCAGGGGACTGAACGCCGACACCATGCTCATCGCCTAGGAAACAGAGAGAGATGGAGATCTTTCTTTGCATGGAACGAGCCCCAACCACAAGACCTCACTTCCACAGACAGTCTTGGGCATTTGGGGGGGTCCAATCCCAGCAAATGTTTCCTACCTGGTAGTCATTGGCCAGCCCGTATTTGCAGGTCCCATTCAAGGCGCACTCGGTGAAGTTCCACCCATAGCCACAGCCCAAGCCGACGCAATCCCCTGTGAAGTTGGTGGCCATCATGGTGTCGTTCAGGTTGCCACTGGCGTTGCGGATCACGCAAGCACCTGGATAAAGAAGAGGGCGAATCCAAACCACTTACTACGACTGGCATCGTTCAGGTTGGCTTATGGCTGGCACCCACCCATTCCCTCCTCTGCACCATCGCGCCGTGGCCAGGCCCAGAACGGGTCAAGGAGGGACAGTGATGCGTGGTCATCCCCTTCTGCCTTGAGGTATGGCTCCTTCCACTAATTGGCCATCCTCCTCCTTACGGCTGAATATCTGGGGAGGCCATGAAGATCTGATGGCAGGCTCTTTACCTATGGTGGCAGCGATGGCCAAGTAGGTCATGGTGGTCAAGAAAATAGCCATCAGCGTTCCTTGAGGGATGGCCGCTTCAGGGTCCTGCCAAGGCGAAAGGACGAGAAGGGATGAAGGTTAGATTCTCTGTGCCCCATAATAGTGGACCGGAAGTGGCCTCACCAGAGACAGACAATGAGACACGGAGGCCTGCTCCGTCAACGTGGCTGAGCCCAGCTGCTCATTGGCTCTTCCCTTTCCCCAGCCGTTCCAATTGGTCAGTGGGTTATCACGGAGCGAAACTGATCTGCACAGGGCTCAGGGCGGTGAACAACATTTCAATGAATTTATTTATTTATTTATTATTTACATTTCTATCCCGCCCTCCCCGGAGGCTCAGGGCGGCTATCACCAAAACAAAACACTAATACAATACAAAATATTAAAAATATATCATAATTAAAACACATTTGGTGCTCCTATCAACCAATTCCAAGATTAACATTCCTAAAGACAAGATGGCCGTCCCCTAAACGCCCCGTTCCAACAGCAATACATTCCAACAACCAGCATTTCAATAAATCAATACATTTGCAGTCAAGTTAAAACAACAGCAAGATCTCTAAGACTATTTCAGATGGTGCTTATGGACCAAATTGTGTCCTTACCCCATGAGGGGGAGAGGAAAGATGGGGGAAGCCAGGCTCAGTGGAAAAACTGTTGCTGTCCTCAACTATCAGCCTGGCGAAACATCTCTGCCTTGCAGGCCCTGCGGAACTGCACTAGATCCCACAGGGCACAGATGTCATTAGGTAGAGAGTTCTGCCACGCCAGCCCCAGAGCTGAAAAGGCCCTAGCTCTGGTTGAGGACAGCTGGGTATCTTTAGAACCGGAAATCACCAGGAGGTTCTTCTTCCCAGAGTGTAATGTTCCTCTCAGGGCTATTATTGGGCAGGAACGCACAGGAACAGAGTTCCGGCTAGCTCCCAAGTTGGGCACGCCCAGCAGGAACTCATTAGCATAACAGGCCATACCCAACAGCAGAAACTCATTAGGATTGGCTACATTAGGGGTGTGTGGCCTAACATGCAAAGGAGTTCCTGCTACAAAAAAGCCCTGGGTTTTGACAACAAACAAGGTAAACAGAATAAGAAGGGAAAGGTGGGTGTGGCTGGATGACCACACTTCTGGTAACATGGGGGTGCGGCCTAATGTGCTAATGAGCTGTGCTGTAACATTCTTCTGGAGATATACCAGGAGAGGCAGTCCCATAGATCCGCTGGTCCCAGACCGTTAGGGCCTTAAAGGCTAGTACCAGAACCTTGAACCTGATCCAGAATTCAGCCTGGAGCCAGTGCAGTTGGCGAAGCACCGGTTGAGTGTGTGCTATCAGTGGGCAAGAACATTGGGGGGGGGAGTTGCAGTGGGAAAGGGGTGCCACATGAGAAGGCATGCTTGGCTATGAGATAGATGAAGGCCCAACCGTATACCTTGAGGTCTCCGGAGATATTGGCACCAGCCAGGATGCCAGTAGCTGAAGGGAAGAAGATGGAGAACATGCCGAAGAAACTTCCGTCCTCTCCCCGCCATTCAGGCACGATGTTTTGCAAGAAGATGTCGCCTTTGAGGAGGGGAGAGAGGTCAAGCGGTCTATCTAAACACAGCGGAGCAAAAGCAGAATTGTGACTACTTTGGATCCCCAGCTCAAATCAAATTCTCGATGGGCCACCTGGCACCCGCCCAGCCAGGCGAGGTTGGTTGTTTTTTTTTTGCCTTGAGTTGATGGCTGAGGGGGAATGCTGACCAGTGTTTTGTTCCCTCTAAGCTGCGTTAGTGTGAGCTAGCTCGCAGGTTTTTAGCCTCCAGCTCACAGATTCTTGTCTTCGCTCAGGAAGGAGGGCTCCAGAGCAAACTAATTTATACAGTAGCCAAATCGCTCGCTCACAACTTGTAATGCCAGCAGCTTGCAAAGTGGAATTTTTGCTCACAAGACTTAGAGGGAGCATTAATGCACAGCTTAGAGGGAGCATTAATGCCCGCTGGGGATGTTTTTATAAAACATACTTTTATAGCCGAAATGTCCCTTAGACTGCTGCTCTTTGGAGACTGGGATAATGGTTCCGATGAAGTAGCTGATGAAAGATAAGATGATGACAATGAAGAAGACAATCTGAGCCTGGGAAGAGAGAAAGGAAACAATAATTGGGGAGGAGAGAAAAGAATAAAATCCACCACAGAGCCATGGTTCCCAGCAAAATTTTCCTTGGCCCAACTGGAAGCCAATTTCCTTTCAGGAAAACCCAAAACCCAAAGGTCCTGTTTCTCCTTTTTGATATGAATGAATATAAATATATATATCATATTGGTTTTATATCGCCTTATCCATCATAGTTTCCTTCACGAAAAAGAAGAGGAGGAGGAGGAGAAGGAGGAGGAGGAGATTGGATTTATACCCCGCCCTTCACTACCCGAAGGTGTCTCAGAGCAGCTTGCAAACTCCTTCCCCGTCCCCTCCCCACAACAGACACCCTGTGAGCTAGGAGGGGCTGAGAGAGCTCTTTCCAGAACGGTCCTTGAGAGAACAGCTGCGACAGAACTATGGCTTGCCCAAGGTCATCCAGCAGCTGCAAATGGAGGAGTGGGGAATCAAACCCGGTTCTCCCAGAAAGGAGTCCACGCACTTAACCACTACACCAAACAGTTCAAGGTAAAACGGCATAAAGTCCAGGTTCAGTCCTGAGCATCACCAGTAGTCGAAAACAGCAAGAGCTACAGACAGACTAATACGGCTACCCATCTTGGCATCACCAGTGAAAAGGATGCTGCATAGCACAGAAAGAGCCTGGCTTAGAGAATTTCTGCCAGTCAGAATTGCTAATACTAAGAGGCAATGGACCAATGGGCTGACTCAGAATAAAACAGCTTCTTATGTTCAGAGCATCTTGGGAAGTGTAGTTTGGTGAGGGTGTGTGGAGTCTCCTTGGCTACAGGTCTCCCCACTTACAGAATTACAGTTCCCAGAATTCTATGAGCAGAGGGAATAACTATTAAATCAAACTAATCTATAGCGGTATGGACTAAGCTGGGGGGTCCATGGGGGAATCACAGGATGGGGGGAAAACGACAATTTGGAAAGCCCACCTCCCAAAACCTAACCCTCCAGGAGTCTTTAAGCTCTTCAGGGCTTAAGCAGGCTGGTCCCCCCCCCCCTCTCCCTTTAACAGACCTTTGGTGCTTTCAACATTTTCCATCTTAAAATGAAAACGGATACACTTATTTTTTTAGAATTTTTCTTATTCAAAATATTTACAAACCTGTGGTTCCATATTAAAATGTAAAACAAGTATAAAGCCAACAGTCGTGATAGTCTGACCCACAATCAAACAGTCATAAGACTTATAAAGAATGCTGTTTATGTATTGCAATCTAAAGCACTATAACATGATACACAACTCAATAGAAAATCCTTGAACCAAGGTACATAATCAACGTCGTCTCAGGATTACATGACAACGTTTCAAAAAATGGATCTTCTTCAGGAGATATTATAGTGGTGCCAAAGCTCTCAGTTTCATAAATGTTAGACAACAAGCCTTAAGAATATTAAATTCAGATGGGACGCTGATCTCAATTAACATTCAGGCTCAAAATATGCTGCTGGCCACTAAGCGGCACTCCATTCTCAGAGCAGACCTGTTATATCCTAAAAATCTCGGCATCACTTTCCTTCAATTACCTTTGCTTCCCATTCCATGCCAGCGAAGGTAATGCCAAGCAGAAGAGTGGTGGTGATCACACCCACGATGCGTATGTCGTTCACTGGGTCAGACATCTCCACATCGAACTCCTGTTGGAGGATGGCAAAGGCAAGTGTTAGCCAGAAAAGGCTTAAAAGCTTGGCCCGAATCCTGACATCATTTCCCCCCTAGAGGGCATTTCCTTTGCTCCTACCCATTGCCTGGCGGCTACAAAAGCAGCTAGATACACATGTTCAAGAGGGAGTCCCTGAAGAAGGAAAGGTACCCGCCTCTGTCTCCTTTGGGTTAATTTAATGGCAACTGTAGCCCTGAGAAGGCAACTGGTGTGGAGTCAGTTTGCAACTCGCGGATACAATAGTAGCTGAGCCACACCATAGAACAACAAAGAGTGCTAAGAACGTGGCTCCAGAGCAGCATGTAAAAACTTATAATATCATTATAAAGATTTATTTTACAGTGCTGACCCCAAACACTAAATGCAAAGTGAAAAATCAGTTGGAGGAATTTACATATCACTAAGTACCTGTCTGAATAATTACACAATAAGTTGGCAATATAAAAACCCAACTTGGCCGTAATTTTCTGAGAAGCATCAGAAATCTTTATAGTAATCAGTAAAGAGCTGTTGACGAAGAGAGATGTCGAGATGTCGTAGAGTCAGGCTGCCACTCCAAACTGGGAAATTTCTGGAGACGGGACCTGCCATAGGGTTGCCAACTCCGGGTTGGGAAATTCCTGGAGATTTGGGGGTGGAGCCTGAGGAGGGTGGATTTTTTTGGGGGGGAGGGGGGTACCTCAGCACAGGATAATGCCACAGAGCCCACCCTCCAAAGCAGCCATTTTCTTCAGGGAAACTGATCTCTGTCATCTGCAGATCACTTGTGATTCCAGGAGATCTCCAGGCCCCACCTGGAGGTTGGCAAGCCTACTGTGGAGTAAATGGGAGGGACTGGTTATATTCCACATACCACCAGGAGATCCTTGACAGTTTCGGCAAAGCCCACCACGTGCATAGCCACGGCAACGGCGTTGGCGAAGGAGAAGAGAAGCCCAATGGAGCCACCAAGCTCCGGACCCAAGCTACGTGAGATGAGGAAGTAAGTGCCCCCTGTGCCAGAAACAAGAGAGCCGGTTCAGACATTTCCCCCCTCAAGGACAGCCCAATCCTAAAGGAGGTGAAGTACTTCTCTTCAAGCAACTGGTTTTGAGAGAGTAATATAGTTATTAATTTCACATTTCTTTTTTGTTTAAATCTTTTTATTGGTTTTCAACAATAAAACAGATTTCAATAACTTTACATACAAAGTGTCATCTGTGATCACCGCTAGAATTGTCTTAATAATAAAAAACTAACGTTATTACGTATGAACGAGATAACAAGTTCAGCTAGCATAAACACAGTTGCGTGGAATATTTAACTAGAATCGGTAGCTAGATGACTGTGGACAAGAGTTTCCCTTATTCATACAGAACCAATTTGCAATTTGCACTTTAATATATGTAGGCATTTCTGAGGGGGTACAGGTTCAAATCACTTCACATGTAATATCTTCTCAACAGTCCTGTAAGGGAGGCCGGCGTTAATCTCCATATCCTGCAGCTAAAGGCTGAAGGAATAAGGGCCTATCTAAGACTACCTTGTAAGTTCATGGCTGAGGTGTGATTTGAACGAGGGAACCTCCTGATTTACAACTCTCGGTCATATCAAACTACCAGTTATTTAGTTCATTAATACATGTTGTAAAAGGTAAAGGTAAAGGTCTCCCTTGCTCGAAAGCCAGTCGAATCCGACTCTAGGGTTGCGGTGCTCATCTCCGTTTCAAAGCCGAAGAGCCAGCGCTGTCTGAAGACGTTTCCGTGGTCATGTGGCTGGCATGACTAAACACCAAGGTGCACGGAACGCTGTTACCTTCCCACCGAAGTGGTACCTATTTATCGACTTGCAATTTCTTGCTTTCGAACCGCTAGGTTGGCAGGAGCTGGAACTAGAGACGGGAGCTCACTCCGTCATGCGGCACACTCGGATCTCGAACTGCTGAACTACCGACCTTCCACAGCCTGCAGTTCAGCGTCTTAACCACTTGAGCCACTTTATTACATGTTGACCAACATAGAATTAGGAGGGGGGGGCGGCATTTGGTTTTGTCTGCTTCTGCCCACCTTCCAGGTCACTTGAGTATTTAACCACCGTATGTGAGTTCCAGCACAACACGGTCCTCCATGTTCAGTCATCGCTGCTTCCTGCTTACCTGCTTTGACCTTGCCGTTGGTGGAGATGGCGGAAATGGACAGGCCAGTGATGCTGGTCACCACTGCCGACATTAAAATGATCAGCCAGGTCAGCCCTAGAGAAAGAGGAGAAGATGAAGTCGGTTAGCAAGCCTGTGGGCACCACAAGAACTCATCTCAACCAGCCATGATCTGAACCAAACTCATAGCCTGCCCTTCATGTCTCTTCCAAGGTCCCCAGTTTTCACCATACTTTCTTGGTCTTCTTCTGCTTGCAAAGTCTTGGACTGGGAGTTAATAAGGTCAGGGAAGCTAACAAAGATCAAATGTAAAATGTATAATTTTAAGCCTATTCTGTCATTCTAGAACATATACAATAGATCAGCCTTCTTGAACAGACAATAGCCTGGTACAGCCAAATCCTGGTAGAGGATTTAGAACGTGTGCATGGAGTTTAGATTATATCACTTAAAAAAAATATCCTTCTCTCCCTTTCTTTCTTCTTGTTAACACTTAGGGTTTTTTTTAATTTTAGTTTTGCGCTTATTTGATATATGGAAGGGAGTGATATATGGATCACTTTAGGTTGTACTTTTCCCTGCAGAAAGAAGGTAGAAAGTAAAAAAGGTTGCCAGCTCTCCGTTGGGGTATTCTTAGTAGGGCTGCCAAGCCGCGGTGGGGGATCCGTGCGTCTTCACAGGATCCCTGCCGCGGGGGACAGCGATACGCATTGCACCGCCGTCGCCAGGATGTGTTGCTCTGGCAACAGGGCTGTTTGGAGTCCCGTTGCCAGAGCGACGCATAGCGTCACATCCTGGCGACGGCGG